CTGGCATATTGAGTGCAACCTTTCACAGCATCATCGTTGAGGATTTGAAATAGCTCAACTGGAATTCCATCACCTCCACTAGCTTTGTTTGTTATGATGCTTCCTAAGGCCCACTTGACTTCACATTCCATGATGCCTGGCTCTAGGTGAGTGATCACACCATCGTGATCAACTGGGTAGTGAAGATCTTTTTTGTACAGTTGTTCTGTGTATTCTTGCCACCTCTTCTTAATATCTTCTGCTTCTTAGGTCCATACCATTTCTGTCCTTTATGGAGCCCATCTTTGCATGAAATGTTCCCTTGGTGTATCTAATTTTCTTGAAGAGATCTCTAGTCTTTCCCATCAATGCTCCCAAGTAAAACACTCAATAAGTATTTGGAGTTGTGGGGGGAGGAGATACATGGGAGAGAGTTTAATAACTAAGGTTTTCATTTTGAGAGCCGGTTGCAGTGGAGATGATAGATATAGTAGGAGTCATGATCCTCAAAGAAGGTATATATAGATGAAGAGCAGAAGGTCCAAGGGAAGGGCAAATTAATAGAGAAAGGATAACGTATGTCAACTACTTTCTGTGCACTAGGCATTGGACTTAAAGCTTTATATGTATTATATCTTTTAATATAGCATCCCCCTGAGGGCAGGCTTTCCCTAAGCAAGCGGAAATTCAGAGAACAAGCAATTCATCCCAGATCCTGTGCCCAATACATGTTGGAACCAGAATATGAACCTAAAGATATTTCCCCCTAGTTTTCCAATTCTGCTGAAATTAATCTCTGTTCATAAACTTTATCTGTCTTTTCCAGAAAATCTCTAGTGTATAATTATAGTTTATGTTTAAAGTCCTTGCTGTTGGGTTCAATATTTGGTTAATGTGTGGGTCTGATTCTATTTTGTTTGTTTTTCTCCTGATTACAGTCACATTTTTCACTTTTTATCTCCTAATTTGTTTTATATATTTTATGGTAGATAATGAATTAAAAAAAAAACAATAGAGACTGAAGTAAATACTCCAGAAAAGTCACACCACTTCTTCTCTGTGACATCTAGTCTGAGGTGTTTATTCTTTTTAGTCTATTCTCCAGTTGAGGTGAGTCTGGTTTGATTTTTGTTTAGTTTCAGTTTGCTACTTGTTTGAAATGTTTTGAAAGCAGGATAGAGGTTCTCCCTTTATCAGCGCATGTGATCTCTTCTCTAATGAGTCTAGAGATCTCTCTCTCCCTCTTCCCCCTACCGTGTCCCCATGTTTTAAAGTCCTTCACCACTGTTTTGTGCCTTTTCAAGGGCTTACCACTCTCAGCCTTTCTCTGCCTTCTCTATGGCTTTCCAAGTCTTGGGTGAAATCTCTCAATCTTTCTGCCCTGTCACCACCCCTTGGTACCTTGAAAGTTCAATAGAAAAGACTTGATGGGCAGGTGTTCTCAAAGTGATCTCTGTCTCTCCTCTCTCCTGCCCTGGAGAGGGGCAGTTTTCTGAAGGTAGCTACTGTGTGCACTTAGTTAAGACTCTGAAAAATAATTGGTAGGCTATACATACTCCCTGGGTCTCTTCAGGACTCTTAATAATCCATCACAAAGGTCCACAGGAGTTTGGCTTTCTACATACACTGATGGACATCCCACATCCATGGAGCTTTGCTTCTACTCTGTCTGTTCCCCCATTAGGAAGGTGGCCATGAATCTTCACTCATCTCAGAAAAGCTTATCCTGATCTGCTATTAGTTCATCCAGATGCCTTTGCATTCTCAGATCTCTGTAAAACACAAAGGTGTGGTTTTGTAGCTGATCTTGCATATTTCTGGTGTTATGATGACACCAATTGTCTGCTCCTACTTTTTATATACCAACTGAAACTATTTAAGGAACATCTTAATCCTTTATATCATACTTTGGTGGGAAAAAAGCAACTTGAAAAACACTTTTTTTATTTTTCAATATAGTTTGCTATCTTATTCATTTAAATTATGGAAAGAATCACGATAATTCAGTAAGGAACTAAACCTTAGGAAAACCAATCCAGTATTTTCAATTACAATGATATTGACAGAAAAACTATCAAAGTAAACTGCAGAAACTGTATTTGGAATGAGTAGGTGCTGGCCTACAATAATACTGAGTTGAAACCCAGACACAGACCTGAACTATGTTAGAATGAAGTTGCTACTTTCTATGAGTAATGTAGATATGAGCAACACTTGCTTACATGTTTTAGAAAAGCAGATTGAACATCTCATACCGCAAAAATGTCTCTAGATTCTCCACTTACCTTAATTGACCCCTTTTTAAAAAAATCAAATCACACATGCGTGCTAGGTCACTTCAGTTCAATTAATTTCAGTCACTCAGTCATGTCTGACTCTTTGCAACCCCATGAATCACAGCACGCCAGGCCTCCCTGTCCATCACAGTCATGTCCAATTCTTTACAGCCCCTTGGACTATAACCCTCCAGGCTCCTCCATACATGGGATTCTCCAAGCAAGAATACTGGAGTGGGCTGCCATGCCCACCACCAAGGGATTTTCCAGATCTAGGGATCGAATGCATTGGCAGGCAGGTGCTTTATCACTAGCACCACTTGGGAAGCCCAGTTAAATGCACACCTCATGCTTTTGTGCTACCAGGTTGTTGATTTCTAACATAGTGCCATGCCTTAGCTAAAAATTCCTTGAAGAAAGTGGCTAGCTTAGGCTTTGCTTCTTGAGGAGGTTCTCTCAGGACATCAAAGGGCCTTGGAACTGGCCAAATGTAAGCCAAAAAAGATGGAATTTTTCTGAATACTTATGTCTACTAGAGCTTTAAGCTAATAGAGTTTAGAGGGGCTGCAAAAGACATCCTAAGGATTCATAGGCTACTTCGTGGTTCATTAGCCATAAAATCCACTGCACTCTTGGAATCTGGAACCCATGGATTCTGGAATTTTGAAATCTGTCTTGTCTAGAATCTTTCTTGACTTGGAATCTGTGTCCATGCTGGTCAGTGAGTGGCAGAGGGGGAAGAGATTGCACATATTATTTACAGAATCAACATCACTTTTCATCGTACTGTGGTATTGAAATATAGGGTGCAATATGTTTAGTAAACTTCAGAGACCAAGGACATTGTTTGTTTACTCCTGGAACTTTTTCATCTAGCAAAGCCTGCCCAAAAATCACTATCCAGTAAATGTTTGTGAAAGAACTGACTGGATGAATATTATGGAAATATTTTATGTGAATTGAAAATACCACTGGATATATCCAAATTTTAGATTTCCTAGTGCTGGTTGGTTTAATACAGCAGCTTACATTATTTTTACTTAGGGACTAACAGAATTACTTCAGATGATAACAGCTATGCCAACATTAATTAAAAAAAAAATCCAGTTATGCTTTTGTGGTAGATTATAGAAATTTTGCAAAGCTTCAATTATACATTTTCTAATAAAAAGTCTGTGGTTATTAAGATGTATTCCCACATAAAAAAGACTGAGCATAAAGGTGAGAGTAGAAGGTTCCCTTGGAACAAAGTCACTAGAATGAGAAGACCAGTGAAGGGAGATGAGCACAGAAGGGGTCGGGCACTAGCTGACAGAACAAGGAAACACCCTTGAAATCCATATCCCATTATTATTCCTACATTTTTACTGCAAAGCAGACATTAATTTAATTTGGTTTACTACTGTAATCTATTCCTGTTATCTGCTCTCATAGTGACCAGCTGCCATAATTCTGCCTTGCCAGTTCCCTACTTCATGACCCACCATGGTGAAAATTTATCTACTAAGTTTTTGCAAGTTCATATACTAAATGCCACCTCATTTTCTTTCCCTCACTTTTCTTCCTGTTTCCCTTTATAGGTCGTTCACATTACCACTGATCCTTAGAGGGAATAGAAGTTTCATAGATCCATCCTTTCAGTCCTGAAGGGCACATAGTCAATAGATGAAATGTAATGGAGTTGGAATGGTAGCACAACTATAAAAATAACCAAATAAATAAATGTGTAATATTTATGCAGGTAAAACTGAAAACTTAGGCCACAGTTCTAGCACTGGCAGTAACAGAGAGCATCAGTGGAGTCACTCTTCCTTTGGGCTATGAGGATTTGGGGCTAGGAGAGGCTATAAGCAGGAAAAGCTATGAAATTCAGAATGAAGGAGATAGAATCACAGTGATAAAGCCTCCATACAAGACCAGAAAGATTCTGTTGCACAGCCAGTGAGAGTGCTCCCCAGCTCTGATTCCAGCCTTGCACCAGCCCAATAAGAGAGGATTTTACTGTCAGTATCAGGATCATTTGAATAACAACTTCTATTTCATGCAAAGTATGGGCTCGGGGTGAGGGTTGGTTGTTTCTGTGCTTATTTTTTTTTTTAAATTTCAGGCTTAATCAAACAACATTATAAGCTATTCCAACCTTTCTTGGAGTTAGACCCTCCCAGGGCTTGTCTGTAGCATTGGAACTTCATTGGATCTTGATATTCTTAGAACTTTACTACTAATAATAGCCTTAAGCATAATAACCATGTTTATGACTTCCTTTTGTTCCTAGGCCCAAGGAAGGGCCTTAGATTACATTCTCTTGGGTTGTCTGAGAAATTTTCTAGACACATTTTTTCCCTTTCCACATATAGGTCAAAGGGCAGGGAAAGCACAATTTGGCTGCATGTATTCTCGTTTAGTACATAATGACTTAGTATCTTTCCTCCTCTTGAAGCTAAAGCTAGTGTCAAACTTTATAGTAATCTTTAAGCTTTTTCATTATACATAAAAATGTTGGTCCAATATATCTTTTTATAAGGATTTGGGGATTATTTAAAATGCTGTGCTTTATGATAACATTTTTCAAACGGTTTTTAACAGTTTTTAAACAGAAATATACAGTCATTTTCCTATAGCTCACAATCTATTTTGGAATTAAAGTTACTGACATGGATTTTTTTAGGACAAAATAAGTTAAGTGAACATTTTTGTTATTTAAATTTTAAGTTTCCTGTTTCTTTCTTTTTTTTCTATTTTCAGCTTTCTAAGAAATATGGAGTCCATGTTTGTGGAGAAGGTGGAGAATATGAAACGTTCACTTTGGATTGCCCTCTATTTAAGAAGAAAATAATTGTGTAAGATATCATTTCAGCATTTTCTTTCCCTTCCTCAAATTTAAGTGATGGAAGCAACTTAACTTTAAGCTGGAGGCAACTTTTGTTGGGAGAAATAGAACATGTCCTCCAAGTTCACAAACACTCAATTTGTTTAATACCAGTGAAGTCGTCTGAATACCTAAATCAATACCTGACAAGACGAGGCCTTCATAGAAGCCTATAAACTTTTTAGACATTGCACTTTCGTTTACTTGCTGATTATGGCCTGCAGTAAAACTGGTACCTGCACACTGACACTTTTATCCCTTCATGAAGTGTGAATTGCCTGTATTATTTATCTTTCATTACAGCTACGTTTGATAAACTGCCACATCAGTAGCCCGTGGGCTCCATTAACTCCGTCCTCTTTTTCCTTCTTCTTGGCTTTAATAACTGAGATACTAAACAGTTCTATACTAAACAGTTCTCTTCAATTATTTGGGGTTATTTTTACCTATAAACTTCTTAAAAATGAATTCTGTTTGTGGTAAGTAGTGTGAGTTCTTTGCCATAAATTGTTAAAAATTTGTGTAGTAAAAGACAGGGACTTTCTTCAGTTCGTTACATCATTACCCATACTCTTAATTTATATCACTCTTCTCATATGCTAAGAGAGCATTTTATTTGCTTTTCCTAAGCTCTTTAGCCTTCTTGAAACGGTTGTCAGAATTACGTTTGATTTCAGAAACCTCACCTGCTAAAAGATTAGAATCTTGGATTGAATGAAAAGCTTCATTGTTTTCAACACTGAAAGGTGATTTCTTTGTACATACTAATAATGAGGGAAGGAGTGTTCTAAAAAATGAAGACAACTCGAGGTGAATTTTCTAAAAAATAACTTTATCTTGAGAAACATAGTCAAGACCTCATCCTTTGCAATATTTACCCACTCTTGCTTTTCTCATTTCTTCTAACTTCTTTCCCATTAATAATCATCAACATAACAGTGCATTTGGCAAATATGTACCTATTATACCTATTATGCCTGAAACATTCTACTGGGCACCATTGATGTTGAACATAGTTCCTGTCTCCAAAATGATGGGAGGACGACACATCTGCATAGAATTTGACACAAAATGGTAGAGAATAAGAGCCACAAGAAAAATTTCATAAATAGGAGGTATTTCTCCTGACTTCAGTGATCACAAAACAATTCATGATTGAATTGTGCATTAGGTATTGCTTCTGTGAAAAAATACTGTTTTGTTACTCAAGAAGGGCATTTCCATGCTTGGGTGAAATTGCTGTATAATGGGAAACTTGCATATACTTACTTATTAATATGGGACTAACAAAATTAGGAAAAAAATAAAAAGCACAATAAGAGAAAAAAGGCCAAAGAAGAATATTCTTCCTATTTATTTGACAACTTGAGTTCCCGGGGCACCTAGAAGTCTTTATGGACAACCTAGAATTATAAGAAATGTACTGCTTTACATTACATAACCAGAAGGTTTGTTTATCATAGTAAACTGTAGACCTGAAAAATGAATCTTACGTTATCATTCTGTAGATAAGGAAGCCTCAACCTAACTGGGAAAATGGCACAATGGGAGTTAGTCATGATGTTAAAGAGAGAGAAGTCAGGGGAAGCGTATTAGAACCCTCTAGTTCCAAAATGAGCTGTTCAGTTGAACTGGGTAATCAAATGTTGAGGAGAGTTATGTGGGTGGAACTGTGCAGGCTGCTGCCCTGCTCTGTAGGAGTTCTTTAAGAATGGAGGGGCTAATCACCAACACTGTAGTGTGCACCCCTCAGGAACAGCGGAGGAAGTGCTGATCATATTTCTTTCTTGTCAATTAATCGCTAATCTAAATCTGATGCTGGCAAATTATCTGCTTTCTTTTTTCATATGTTCTGCCTCACCTCAACTTCACAGCTTTCTTATTTGAATTCTTTTCTCTTGATTGCCTTCCCATTTTTCCCTACTTTACTAAATCCTTCCATTTTTAAAAACTTTGGTGGTTATTGCCCCAGTGCCTATATTCATAACTGAACTCTCAGAACATACAGTAGATACTAATAAATGTTGAATATCATTGAATTAATTTTACTTATTGTTTATTTTTATATATACATATTTCACTTTTATGCATTTCTTTCTTAAATTATACTTACAGGTTATAGTAGTTGAATGGAAAAGAATATCACCCACTATATATAAAATCTTTCCTTTACTTTAAAATGGAAAATGTCCTTACCATACCTATCTGATAAGCACTGAATGTGATGGTGTGAGTGAACAAGCATTGCACATTCTAAAACCATTATGTAAATTAAGTTATTTCACTTAGAGATAGTTGTCCATGTGATAAAATTAAATGATAAGTTTAAACCAGGTAACTACTTGTTAACAACTGACTATTAATCATCCTGGATCCTGTAAGTTGGACTTTATTTGAGAGACAAATTTATGCTATTTCCTGTTCTATTTGATATAGTAGTGATCTTCCACAATTAGCATACAACTAGTTGACTATTAGGAGTCCCCGTTTAAATTTGTGACTCAAAAATTTAATGTTAAAAAGGAGATTACATCTAACAGGAGAAAAAAATAAACTTTTTCATGTAAAATTATTTGATTATAAACGGTGATTTTTTTTTTTAAACACAGATTAACTCTCTTGTATAATGAAGTAATTTAGACAAATGAGGTGGTTCTAGAAGTTTAGGCTTCCCATGTGGCTCAGCTGGTAAAGAATCCACCTGCAATTTGGGAGACCTGGGTTCGATCCTTGGGTTGGGAAGATCCCCTGGAGAAGGGAAAGGCTACCCACTCCAGTATCCCTGGCCTGGAGAATTCCATGGTCTGTATAGTCCATGGGGTCACAAGGAGTTGGACATGACTGAGTGACTTTCACTTTCACTTTCTAGAAGTTTATTATGAGATGTATTATGAGATATATTCCAATTAACCTTTTTAAAATCTTGTAGGAAAGACTAGCATACCAGTCTTTGTCTGGAAGTAATTTAGAAAAATTTTTACTGGAACATTTTACAATATACTTTTCACATCAATTACGATATGCCTACCCACCTCTAGATACAAATTTTTAGATCAGAAAATGAGTTTTTTCCTGAGGAGCCTAGATAAAAAAAAAAATTATGGCTTAGTCTTTAAGAGAAGAAGATACTTGTAGGTCCTAAAAATAATAAACCTATTTTCCTATTGTTTCTTACTTTGAAATATGTATGTATGTATATCGAAAGTAAGAATTGAAACACAAGAATATAACCAATATTTTGGGGAAAAACATAAAAACTAAAGTCCCAGTACTCTATTAATGAAAGTGATAATTTTCCTCTTGCTATTGATGAACACATCTTTAATGTCAGTGTTTGATACAACCCCACATTTCCATTTGAACTACAATATTAATATACTACTGCTACACAGTTGCTATGTATGGAATGGGTGGAAGGATAGAAGAAACAGTGGGAAGGAAGAAGGGATGAAAAGAACTAAATTCTATAATTAAAACACTATGCACTCATTTTCCCCACTCACTCCTAGTTTCTACCTATTCAAGTCAAGACATAACTCAGCCCATAGCATCCTAATATCACATTTAGCAGTGGGGATGAGTCAAGTACTTTCCTTATCTACTTTCTTATGTCTCTCCTATATCACTTGGAAAACTAAAATTTATGAACTAATTTTCCTTGTATTTAAATTTATATAATTATTTTTATTATGCTAGAGGTGCTATATGATGTTATTGGTATATATGTGTGATTATGTTCATTTATATGTATACAAGTAATATGCATGTATGAAAATGTATATATTCATGTAAAGATAGGTAATTGAAAAATCTGTGTGGATTTTTTTATAGTAACTATGTTTAACAAAGTTAAACTATATGGTAATTTTTTATTCAACAAATGAATGAATACCTGGCAATATATTCTTCTCTGAGCCAGAGGCGAAGTATGGAGGAACAGACAAAGATGAATGAAACTTAGTGCCTCTTTGAAAATGGAAGACAAGCACAGAAACATAATTCTAATATAGTAGATGTATTATGAAAGGGCTGTTGGGTTGCAAAGATTCCTTGGAGGAAGAAATGGCAACCCACTCCAGTATTCTTGCCCGGAAAATCCCAAGGATTAGAAGAGCCTGGCGGGCTACAGTCCATGGGGTCACAAAGAGTTGGACACGACTGAGCAACTGAGTGGTTGCACACACACACACACACACACACACACACACACACACACAAATGCATGATCAAAGCACAGAAAGCAGAAAACTAGCACTGTGTGAGGATGTCAGGCAAGGCTTCACAGAAATGTGAGCATAAGTGTGAGTTCATGGGGCATATCTATGTGTGGCTGTGTTTTAGAGGAGAGGTAGGAATCAAGATCATGGCTGAATCTCAAGAGAAAGTATCAGTTTTTTGAAGTGAGAGGGTAGGGCCTGACCTCATACCTTGAGAGAGAGTCTGGCTCAGAGAAGAGAGACTCAGACCTGTCTCAGGTAGCTGCCATTTTGAAACTGTAATGGGGGATAAGCCTAATGCAGCAGTGAAAGGGAATGTCAGATCCAGCTGTTTGCTACAGAGAAATCTCCATTCTGTAAGAAGTCGAGGCTGCACTGATTACTTGTATCAGTAGGGAAAGAGGAGGATGGTAGCTAACTGGAAAGCATTTTTGCTGTAGTTCAGTTGTTCTTAATTTGGGGGTTTCTCTGAGGATACTCCCGCAGATCCTGTTCTGGGTTTCAGAAGCCAACAGAAACCAGAGACTCTTGAAAGTTGAGTTTCAAGTGACAGTTTATGAAAGAAAAGAAGAGCAATAGTGGCATTATGCTCTTTGAAGCTACAAGCTATTTATTTGATATCTATTATCTGTCTTCCAGTTGATTCTGGCTTTGTATAAGAGAATGAAATTATATTAGTCAATTGTGGATGCAATAGAATCCATAAAAATCTTATTCCTCTTCATTTAGTTATGTTATATAGTATAGTTAGATATTTTCTTTGTTATATATTTATATATATATAATTTATATATATCTATTTCTCTGTTATATATTTTCTCTGGAAAACAATCTTGATTCAAATGTGATAATTATATCAATTAAGTGAGCCATTTGCTGCCAATCTGTTTCTAGTGGGGATAACTGGCATGAGAAGGGAGGGCCTGAAACCCTTTCTACTGACACATCATTGGTTTTGATTAGTCATAGTTTTGGTGTATCCATTGTCAAGGATATCAAGACCAAGCTGGCTACATCAGGCATAATTCAGGCTCAGGGTGAGTTTCCAAAGCTGGAAATGGTAACCCCGAGAGATCAAAATTTAATGTAAAAATGAGATCATATCCAGGAGTAAGAATTTGAATCTATTGATGGGCCAAGACACGACAGAATGATCTCTGTTCGTTTCCAAGGCAAACCATTCAATATCACGGTAATCCAAGTCTATGCCCTGACCAGTAATCCTGAAGAAGCTGAAGTTGAATGGTTCTATGAAGACCTACAAGGACTTCTAGAACTTATACCCAAAAAAGATGTTATTTTCATTATAGGGAAGTGGAAAGCAAAAGTAGGAAGTCAAGAAATGCCTGGAGTAACAGGCAAATTTGGCCTTGCAGTACAAAATGAAGCAGGGAAAAGGCTAATAGAGTTTTGCCAAGAGAATGCACTGGTCATAGCAAACACCATCTTCCAACAACACAAGAGAAGACTCTACACATGGACATCACCAGATGGTCAATACCAAAATCAGATTGATTATATTCTTTGCAGCCAAAGATGGAGAATTTCTATTCAGTCAGCAAAAACAAGACTGGGAGCTGATTGTGGCACAAACCATGAACTACTTATTGCCAAATTCAGACTGAAATTGAAGAAAGAAGGGAAAACCACTAGACCATTCAGGTATGACCTAAATCATATCATCCCTTACAATTATACAGGGGAAGTGACAAATAGACTCAAGGGATTAGATCTGATAGACAGAGTGCCTGAAGAACTATGGATGGAAGTTCCTGACATGGTACAGGACACAGGGATCAAGACCATCTCCAAGGAAAAGAAATGCAAAAAGGCAAAATTGTTGTCTGAGGAGGCCTTACAAATAGCTGTGAATAGAAGAGAAGCAAAAGACAAAGGAGAAAAGGAAAGATATAACCATTTGAATTCAGAGTACCAAAGAATAGCAAAGAGAGCTAAGGAAGCCTTCTTCAAGGATCAATGCAAAGAAATAAAGGGGGGAAAAAAGAATGGGAAGGCCTAGAGATCTCTTTAAAAAAATTAGAGATACCAAGGAAACATTTCATGCAAAGATGGGCTCAATAAAGGACAGGAATGGTATGCATCTAAGGGAAGCAGAAGATATTAAGACAAGGTGGCAAGAATACCCAGAAGAACTATACAAAAAAGATCTTCACGACCCAAGAATCACAATTGTGTGATCACCAACCTAGTGCCAGACATCTTTGAATGTGAAGTCAAGTGGGCCTTAGGAAGCATCACTATGAACAAAGCTAGTGAAGGTGATGGAATTCCAGTGGAACTATTTCAAATACTAAAAGATGATGCTGTGAAAGTGCTGCACTCAATATGCCAGCAAATTTGGAAAACTCAGCAGGAGCCACAGGACTGGAAAAGTCAGTTTTCATTCCAATCCTTAAGAAAGACAATGCCAAAGAAAGTTCAAACTACCACACAATTGAACTCATCTCATATGCTAGTAAAGTAATGCTCAAAATTCTCCAAGCGAGGCTTCAACAGTACGTGATCTGTGAACTTCCAGATGTTGAGGCTGGTTTTAGAAAAGGTAGAGGAACCAAAGATCAAATTGCCAACATCCATTGGATCATTGAAAAAGCAAGAGAGTTCCAGAAAAACATCTACTTCTGCTTTATTGACTATGCCAAAGCCTTTGACTGTGTGGACGACAACAAACTCTGGAAAATTCTTCGAGATGGGAATACCAGACCACCTGACCTGCCTCTTGAAAAATCTGTATGCAGGTCAGGAAGCAACAGTTAGAACTAAACATGGACCAACCAACTGGTTCCAAAGAGGAAAAGGAGTACGTCAAGGCTATATATTGTCACCCTGCTTATTTAACTTTTATGCAGGGTACATCAAGAGAAACGTTGGACTGGATGAAGCACAAGCTGGAATCAAGATTTCAGGGAGAAATATCAATAACCTCAGATATGCACATTCATGGCAGATAAACCACATTCATGGCAGAAAGGGAAGAAGAACTAAACAGCCTCTTGATGAAAGTCAAAGAGGAGAGTGAAAACCTGGCTTAAAACAAAACATTCAGAAAACTAAGATCATGGCATCTGGTCCCATCACTTCATGGCAAATAGATGGGGAAACAGAGACTTTATTTTCTTGGGCTCCAAAATCACTGCAGATGGTGACTGCAGCCATAAAATTAAAAGACGCTTGCTCCTTGGAAGAAAAGTTATGACCAACCTGGACAGCATATTAAGAAGCAGAGACATTACTTTGCCAACAAAGGTCCATCTAGTCAAAGCTATGGTTTTTCCAGTAGTTATGTATGGATGTGAGAGTTGGACTATAAAGAAAGCTGAGCGCCAAAGGTTAGATGCTTTTGAACTGTGGTGTTGGAGAAGACTCTTGAGAGTCCCTTGAACTGCAAGGAGATCCAACCAGTCCATAAAGGAAATCAGTCCTAAATATTCATTAGAAGGAATGATGCTGAAGCTGAAACTCCAATACTTTGGCCACCTGTGTGAAGAACTGACTCATTGGAAAAGACCCTGTTGCTGAGAAAGATTGGAGGCAGGAGGAGAAGGGGACAACACAGGATAAGGTGGCTGGATGGCATCACCAACTCTGTGAACATGAGTTTGCATAAACTCCAGGTTGGTGATGGATAGGGAGGCCTGCCGTGCTGCAGTCAATGGAGTCACCAAGAGTCAGACACAACTGAGCAACTGAACTGATGAGCCAAGATAGAACCAGGACAGACAAGTATGGAGTAAATAAGCAGGACAACTTAACTAGGGTTAACAAGGCAGAGAGGCAAGTGGTAAAAAGCAAGAGGTCTCCTCTTTGCTTTCTTTTTCTCCTCCTCTTGCTCATTATACAGGGAGGCATCTTTTGGTTTAGGTAGTCTGTGAAGACAGGTTATTACTTCCTTTCATGATCGCAACTCTTTAATGATTTTATTTCTATTGTAATGTGTTACTTTTCTTTTAATGTCATAGAAGCCCATTTTAATGTAATTTTTAAAGCACTAACAAGATTCATATTTGATACAAAAGGTTCATGAGTGGTATCATCAGACTGCTTTTTCTCTATCTCTGATTTTCATGTGAAAAGTAAACAGATTTTGCCCATGAAAATTTAATATACTGGATCCTAGTATTTTAAGATTTCTTCTATTGCCACTAAATAACTTTTCATTACAAACACTGATTCAAAATTATTTTATGTAAGTGTAAAAGAGGCAAAGTAAGAATCTATTTTGCTGTACCACAATGGTTAAGATTCTAACAATGTACTAGTATGAACACTGCAACTAGTTCCTGAGGCTTTAAAAAGAGATGAGAAATGTCTGCTTTTAGAATTTCAGTTAAAATGCAAAAACACTATTTCTTAATAAACAATAATAAAAATAATTAGTTATTAGAACTTCACACATAATCTTATTTGTTTACATGTGCTTTACAGGGTATCTTTTATAAAAGTTGATTTAATTTACATGTATCCATATGGTGCCAGCAAGCAGTTCATACTATTTTACCTGAATGTGATAATTGCTATGTCAGACAGTCAATTTTAATAGCAATGATATTACAGTGTGAAGAGTTCATCTAGAGCTTAAAACCATCACCAATACTGCTTTTGTGAAGGATAATTGAGATTTTGTGTGAAACAGTGAATGAATTACCTCTTGAAAATGAAAAGAATAATGAAGATAAAGCCCTATTGTTTAATGGTTAGCCCATACCAACCAACTTTGTGAGAATGAAATTGAATAGAGGCTTCAGGTTGTAAAACTGTTCAGAGAGCTTTGAGTGAACCTGAAAATTGAACTGTGTGTCCTCATAAAGATGAAAAGCTTCTTTACTTATTCTTGAAAGTTTAGTTTCCTCCATCTTTTTCCCAATTAAATATTTAATTATTAAAAGTAGATGTTAATCACTAATTGTGAAGTAAATATGTATACAGTAGTATTCCAGTAGAAATAAATGAGGATTTTGGTCTTTTCTAGTCACTAGTAGGAGTTAGTTTGCACAAAACAGATTTTGCATAGTAGATAAACTATAATTTTTATTTTATTTCAGAGATTCATCAGAAGTAGTCACACATTCAGCTGATGCATTTGCACCTGTGGCTTACCTACGCTTTTTAGAATTGCACTTGGAGGATAAGGCAAGTAATCTAAAATTTGCAGTGATTTAAAGTGAAAATTGGGATATGTGCATTATCTCTATATATATAACTCCATAACAACAAATGAAAGGTAAAAAATGGGTTTTTTCAGATCCTCAGTCAATAACTAAGAATTTTTCAAATGTTTATGGTTTTGAGAGCTCTATATGATATAAAAGACATTACATTTCTGAAGAGTTTGTAGTTCATCTGAAAAGGGATCATATATACATTAATCAAGGAGAAGACAGGACAATGTATAACCAAATATTAAATCCTCTAATAAATTAAGAGTTAGGTTGTTGAGCATTAGCTGTAGGGGAAAGGTTTGAGGATAAATTGAATGCTCATAACAAAATTTAAGAGGAGTAAGAGGAGTATGAGAAATTAGAGCTGTTCCAAAAATAAACAAGAGAACAGACGTACAAATAAAAGATGGAAAATTCAGCAAAAAATATGATAAAGAGTTTTATTTTAAATATACTGTCAAGATACAGCAGAAAGTTTATTTTTAAATGTTTTGTAAAGTAGTTAAGGCCTAGGTTAGACCCTTTGATTAAAAGTTCTGCTCCTTAAGACATAAAGGATTGGGGAAAGGCTTCTGCATCTTTCATGTTTTATCACCAAGTCTTGATGCACACCCAGAGATGTATGTATATATATTAGATAATCTGAAGAATCAAGAGACTCAATGATCAGCAAAGGAAGGAGAAAAATGGGAACCCCAGAAACCTCTTAATCAGGAGGAGTTTCCAAAAGTAGAGAATGATATTTGCTGTCATTTCTCCAGAAAAATTAAGATAGACAGGGTTGAAAATAGATCATTGAATTGGGCTGGAAGGAGGCTATTCAGTGACCTTTTACCCAAAAGCTGGTAACCCTGAAGACAATGAAGCTAAACTCTCCAGGTTTCTTTCAGACCCACTGAAAGAAGCTTCTTATTTCTACGTCTCTGCTACTTTTGCTGCATGTGCACACACGCAAAAATCAAACCCACCAAATTCTGGTTTAGATACGTTGGCCGTTAAACGTTCAGCTCTACCTAAATAGCTCATTATTCACACTGTTTGGGTATTTCGTTAGTCTTTACTGACCATTTTCCCTCTTTGGGAAAAGAATGTTACTTCTTTGAGGTACAATACTCATTGACACTGAATAAATATGCTGTGTTTCCTTTGTTTTTTTTTAGGTGTCCCCAGTACCTGACAACTGCAGAACATCTAATTATATACATAACTCTTGAAAAACATTTTTGTTACTAACCTGCTATTTCTATGTAATTTAAAAAATTACATAGCATTGTCTTGATTATTTTGTACCACTTTTTCTCATCACCGTTTTTTTTTAAGTCTTAGAAATATTTACTTTATCAGAAATTAATAGAACCATTGATCGGTTAACACATCCTGTGCATCGTCTCTAGTAACTTTTTCTTTTCCCCTTTACTTCATCTCCAGTCCTCACTTCTTAACATTTCTTTGCCTTCATCACCCTAGTTTATTTTCTTTTTCTTGTTCCTGCTCTCTTCTCAGCCAATGATACCATGATGCAAAGGCATTTGAAAATGAAGATGAAAAGGCAACCACTGTATTTAGTTAATCACATTTACTAGGTGTCATCATTTTTGTTCATAATATATTCATTGTTTCAACATTACTGGACAATCAGGAAGAGTACCATTAGCTCTTATTGGTTATTTTATAACTGATTAAAAACACACAATTTTTCAGTGTTACCTATGTTGACTTCAGGCTGTTTTTTGAATTCACAGAAAAATTGAGCAGAAGGCACAGAGATGCACAGTGCCCCCCAACTGTCAACATCCCACACCACAACAGTACATTTGTTACAAACAAGAGATTTACACTGACACATCATTTTCACCCAAAGTCCATAGACAATCAACTTGGTATTGTACGTTCTATGGATGACATGTATCCATCATTATACATGTCATACAGAGTATGTCCACTGCCCTAAAAAATCATCTGTGCTCCACCTTTCATCACTTACTTCCTCCATCCCCTGGCAACCACTGATCTTTTCATTATCTCCATAGTTTTGCTTTTTCCAGAAGGTCATATAGTTAGAATAATACAGTATGTTGCCATTTTTAGATTGGCTTCTTTCCCTTAGTAATATACATTTAAGGTTTCTGTGTGTCTTTTCATAAGTTTTTAAATGCTTAATAGTATTCCATTGTCTGGACATACCATGATTTATTTATCCATTCACCTACTTAAGAACATCTTGGTTGCATTCAAGTTTTGGCAGTTTTGAATAAAACTACTATAAAACACCCATATGCAAGTTTTTGTATGGACGTAACCTGTCAACTCTTTGAAGTAAATGCCAAGGAACATGATTGCTGGATTATATGGTAAAAGTATATTTAATTTCACAAGAAGCTATCAAACTGTCTTCCAAAGTGTCTGTACCATTTTGCATTCCCACCAGCAGTGAATGAGATTCACTATTCTCTATTCCTATTCCCTCTCTTCACTATTTGCGTTCCTCTGCATCCTTGTCAGCTTTTGATATTGTCAGTGTTTTGCACTTTTGTCATTTTAATAGGTATGTAATAGTATCTCATTGCTGTTTTAATTTGGATTTCCCTGATGACATATGATGTGGAACATCTTTTCATATATTTTATTTACTATCTCTATATTATATTTAGTGAGATATCTGCTCAGACCTTCTGCCCATTTTTTATTTGAACTCTGTTTTCTTATTATTGAGATTTAAGAATTTTCTGTATGTTTTGGAAATAGTTCTTTATCAGCTATGTCTTTTGCAAATATTTTCTTGCAGTCTATGGCTTGTCTTCTCATTCTTTGCCAATAACTTTGCCAAAGCAGACATGTTTAGTTTTAATGAAGCCCAGGTTATTAATTATTTCTTTCATCAATTATGTCTTTGGTATTATATCTTAAAGTCATCACCAAAGCCAAGATCATCTAGATTTTCACCTATTTTAAATCTTCTATGATTTTTATACTTTTGCATTTTACATTTTGGGTCTGTTATTCATTTTGACTTAATTTTTATAAAGGGATATAAGGTTTGGTCTGGATTCTTTTTTTTATGTGTAGATATCTAGTGGTTCTGGCATCATCTGTTGAAAAGACTGTATTTTCTCCATTATATTTCCTTGCTCCTTTGTCAAAGATCAGTTGACTATATTTATGTAGACCTATTTCTCAGCTCTCTATCTGTTCCGTTGATCTGTTTGTCTATTCTTTTGCTAATACCACAATGTCTTAATTACTGTAGCTTTGTAGTATATCTTAAAGTCAGATAATGTCAGACTCTGACTTTGTTCTTCTCCTTCAATATTGTATTAACTATTCTAGGCCTGTTTACCTTTCCCTTTAAGCATCAGAGTCCATTTTTTATATCTACAAAACAACTTTGTAAGATTTTGAATGGAATAACATTGAATCTATAGATCAAGTTGGAAAGAACTGACATCTTAACAGTACTGAATCTTACTATCCATGACCTTGGGATATCTGTTTATTTTATTCTTTGATTTCTTTCATCAGAGTTTTATGTATATATGCTTGAATATCCTTTTTATTTTCATCATTCTAACCTAATATGTTAAATATTGCCTCCTTTCAACTTTTTTTTTTTGTTGCAAATGACAGACATCGAGGTAGCATTCTTAGTGTGAATCAGGAAAGAAATAAATGAGAGTTCCTTTCCTAGAAATTGTACTATGTATCAATGGCTTGAGTAAAGCACTGGCCAAGTCACCAGCTCTACCCCTGAGCCCACTCAGGTAGTAGAGAAGGGGATTTTATAGAATGAAAACAAAGTGTCATTAACAAAAGAAAGATGGTTAAATGCTAGAGGGCAAAAATGACAGATATGGGACTTCCCTGGCAATCCAATGGTTAAGACTCTGTGCTTCACATGCAGGGAATACAGGTTTGATCCCTAGTCATTGGAAGATCCCACATGTCACACAGCATGGCCAAAAAAAAAGTGATAGACTTCCAGATGTTTTATCAAAATCACATTGTCATTTCAAACTCATATTAACAAATTAACACTCTACCCCAAATAATAGTGAGACCATGAATGTATACCTTGAATACCACTCTGAAAATCTGTATCTGTTCCCAAAATTTCTTTACTTTCTGTATACTTTATAACACATTTGCAATCTAGCTTTGTCAATTACTTTGATGAATTGCTGTTAGTCTCTTTCTGAGATTCTATCTTTTCTTACAAGTTTACTTTTTACCTCTATATAGATAATTCTTAAAGCACTCTCTTTATGGTCTTTATACTAATATATGTTTTTCCTCCTTAACTCTCCATCCCTATTTCTGAGTGGCTGCTGGATGTGACTGCCAATAAGGATCAAGCTCATTATGTACCAACTTTCAACTCATTTTCCCCTCCAAGTGCACCGTTTCTTTTTGTTATTTAGCACTACTATTTTCCACCTAGTAACTCAGGCACACAAAGAAATGAACCATCTATTAGAGCTATCTCTCCTTTACCATAAACATTCAATTGAGACCCCTTGGACTGTAGCCTACCAGGCTCCTCCTTCCATGGGGTTCTCCAGGCAAGACTGGTGTGCGTTACCATTTCCTTCTCCAGGAGACCTTCCCGACCCAGGGATCAAACCCTGGTCTCCCTCATTGGAGGCAGACGCTTTAACCTCTGAGCCACCAGGATGTTTACAGACTTACTATTTCCACTAGGATGAAAATTTCTGAAGGACTCCTCTTTATTCATCTCATAGCTCCTACAACATCTGTTAGTTCTGCAGTAAGAATTTTTAACTGTTTGTTACTTTCATGCTTCTTTTTTTTTTCTTCATGTAGGGTTTTATAAACATGCTTCCATTTCATGCTTCATATTATTTAATGAAAGTCACTTTCTTGTTTATTTTTCTTTTATCTTGTTAGATAAAATACTCCAAGCAAACTGGAACATAGCATACAACCTTTAGAGAGGTTTTTAGTGTGAAATTTAAGTTATTGCTAAGATTTTCACTTTATATATAATGACCCTTTAACTTTTTATTGAATAATCTATTTAAATGTTACCTTTGAATTAAATATTAAATTATTTATGTGAGAGTAAAAATTATATCAACTAAACATGGGATCCCAAACAAAATAAGTGAATAATGGAAAGCTCCAGGTTAAAAATGAAGAAATATATTAAAATTTCTTTTAGGGCTCTGACTTTACTGCTTATAGCAAACTTGATGCTAAAATACACCATACATCACTACCATGACAGGCTTGAGAAAATGAAAAATACAAAGCTTTACATAAATCAACCAAAAGATCATATTAAAATGCATAACCTTTAACAGAAGAATCAAGACTTTTAACTATTCAGATCTTTCTTCTTTACGTAATTGTTTTAGATTTCTCAAACAGTTATATGAGAAATATTTCAAATTAATTGTTGGCAAAGCCATTGCATTTATAAAGAGGGCAAGGTTCACAGAAATTTAGCCCCAATTTTACTAAAGTACCTTACTATTATTTAGTACTTAATTTTGTTTTTTGTTGAAATAATTCATGGGATAATTGTATATTTTATATAATTATAATAGCTCTCCTTACAGAGGGACAAAAGAAGGAGAAAGATAAAAAGATGACTTTTATTCATCAACATTTGGTTCAGCACAGCTTTCCTATCCAACCCCACCCTTTTCCCATCTTTGCCCTCACGGTAAGGAGCAAAAAACTGATCTGGTGAGAGAGAGCAAGGCAGTTAGCAGGTTTTAAAACCTTTTTCTACAAACCTTACTGATACAGCTTGTGATTCAGATAAATTTTGGCTTTAGGTACTGCTGTGCTAATGCTACCATAAATGATCGTTGGAGGAGATTAATAAATCAAGCATTATATTCACCCAAATTTAGAGAGCTACTTAATGCATTTCTGCCCCTAGTGCATATATTTCAATACTACCAACAATTTATCACCGTATCAGGAAGTCATGAATCAAACTGGACAGTAGAGAAGTTTTTGAACCCACATCTTGATAGACTTAATCAGTTTGGGGGAGGATCATAAAAATAACCAATCAAATGATTTCCTTCCCTTCTTTCCAATTCTAAGTGACTTTTTTCCCTTAGTATTTACTTAGTTGTTATGCTCTTCTATGTAGCTTTTTGTTCTTGGTGTTGTTTTGAAAAATGAAGTTTTTTATTTTTAATTTAAAAAAATTAGTTTTTTAATTAGTTTTTAATTAGTATTTTCATAAAGTTTCACTTTGATAGTTTCTCATTAAAAAGGTGGCATACTACTTACTCATTTAACATTTATTTAGTGCTTAAATTTAAACAGCTGGCACTGTTCATTCAGTGAGGAAACAATAGTGAACTGGACAACCAAAACTTATTTCTTTCATGGAGCCCTTATCCTATGGAATGAGACAGATTAATTAAATATGTTAAAAAGGGGGGATGGCGAAAGGTTGCCTCACTACCCATAGAGATGAAGATTGGAGTTTATGGAATAAACAGGATCTGAGAATCTGAGGCTGCTCTTGTAACATTTTTAAACCCAGATTTAGGGTAACCAGACTAATTCTTTTGGTCATATAGCAGATGGTAGTGATAAACTATGAGTAGTTGGATTTGGGTAAGCAACGGCTAAGAATCTTGCCAGAAGGCTATAGATACAGCCAAAGAGTGTTTCAGTGAATTGGAAGTCAAAAGAAAATATTCAGAATGCAGCATGAAGAGAAACAAAGATAAAAAATACACATTAGAGGTTGAGCAGGTTTCCCTGGTGGCTCAGATGGTAAAAATCTGCAGGCAATGAGAGAGACCTGCGTTGGGAAAATCCCTGGGTTGGGAAGATCCCCTGGAGGAGGGCATGGCAACTCACTCCAGTATTCTTGCCTGGAGAATCCCATGAACAGAGGAGCCTGGAGGGCTACAGTCCATGGGGTCTCAAAGAGTCAGACATGACTGAGCAACTAAGCACACACAGAAGCTGAGAAATAAAACCAGTGAAAAGGTCTAAAATGTATATAATTAAGGTGTCAGGAGACATATAATGAGAAAAAATGGAATAATTGAGAAGGTGATAGTTGAGAACTTTACAAAATTAATTAGACACACTAAGGTACAGATTCAACAAATCTCATGAACCACAAATGAAATAAAAAGAGATCCATATTTAGATTTTTGTTATTCAGTCACTAAGTCATGTCTGACTGCAGCATGTCAGCCTTCCCTGTCCTTCACTATGTCCCAGAGTTTGCTCAAATGCATTGAGTTGGTGATGCTGTCTAACCATCTCATCCTCTGCTGCTCTCTTCTCCTTTTGTCTTTCCCAGCATTAGGGTCTTTTCCAATGAGTCCACTCTTCATATTAGGTGGCCAAAGTATTGGAGCTTCAGCTTCAGCATCAGTCCTTCCAATAAATATTCAGAGTTGATTTCCTTAGCTTTGTGATAATAAAACTGCTGAAAAAAAGTCAAAGAAAAAAATTAGAAATAGTCAAAATACAATTTTTTAAAAGGCCATATTCAAAGTAACAGCTGTTAGAATGAAACCTAACTTTTAAACAAACAAACAAAAAATGGAATCCAAAATAATGGAGCTCTATCCTTTGCATCGCTAAATGAAAATAACTCTCATTCTAGAATCTGTAGCCAGCAAAAATATCCTTCAAAAATTAAAGTGGAGTTACTTTCAGGATGTTAGTTATGCATTTGTCAAAACTCGTTGATAGTGCACTTATAGTTTGTCAATTTCACTGTGGTTTTTCTCTTCAAGAAATATTTAACAAATATTTAATTCTAGTTAATAACATTTATGTTAAAACTTTAACATACTTTATCATGCTTTGGTGTGTCTGCTAGTAATAATTTTTCTTAATTTTGTAAAATTTCTTCCCTTCATTTTTATTTTACTCCAATATTTTATTAAGGAAAATTTTAAACATACAGAAAAGCCAAAAAGGAGAAATAAAAGACCTTCACAGTTAAAGAAAAACAGAGAATTCTAGACTTGCCTTACTTACAGGTATTCCTGAAAGGAATTCTTCGAGTTGAAAAAAAAGATATTAGACAGCAACACTAAAGCACTTGAAAATGTAAAACTCCCTGATATAGATAAATATATAGACATATACGGAGCTTTGTAATACTGTGATGATGGTATGTGAATTAACTATAATTCTGTCATAGAATGTTATAAATAATTTCATGAAAGTAACTATCAAGCTATGTTAGAGGATACAGAATATACAAAGATATAATTTGTGACATCAATAATATAAAGTAGGATGGAGAAGCATAAAGGTGTAGAATTATATATGTGATTAATGTTAAGTTTTTATTAGTTTAAAATAGATTATTATAGGTGTTTGATGCAATACAGTAACCACAAAGAAAATACGCAGAAAAAAATGAGGAAGGAATCAAAATGTGTCACCACAAAAAAATAAAACACAGAGGACAACTGCAAAAGAGGAAGGAGTAACAAAATAACTAGAAGACTAGAAGATATAAACAACAAGATGATAACACTGAATTCTTCTCTACCAGTAAGTGCTTTAAATTTAAATAGATTAAACTCCCAATCAAAAGACATGGGAGGGATGGACAGTGGGAGATCAAGATGGTGGAGTCAGAGAACCTATAGCTCAACTCTTCTTATAAACACACCAAAATTACATCTACATGGGGAACAACTCAGAAAATCAAAAGACATAGTGTGGTTGAATGTATTAAAACATTAACAACAACAGTATGCCCTTTACAAGAGACACACTTTATATATAAGGTTATTCATAGGCTGAATGTAGACGTTTCAATAAAGCCATTTCATGAAAATGATAACCAAAAGAGAGCAGGAGTGTCCATACTTACATGAGATAAATATATTTTGAGTCAAAAACTGTCACAAGAAGCAAAGAAGGACATCATATAATGACAAAAGAGTCAGTTCACCACGAAGGTATGAAAGTATGAATCTATATCCACTAACAGCAGAGCATCCAGATATATGAAACAAATGTTGACAGAAGTGAATCGAGAAGTAGACCGTAACACGATAATGGTAGGGGTTTCAGTATCTCACTCTCAATGTAGAAATCAAGCAGATCAAAGATCAACAAGGAAACAGAGGACTTGACCAATACTGTAGAATAATTGGATCTCATAGACATTAAAGTAACACTCCACCCAACAACAACAAAATACACATTCTTCTCAAATGTACTAAGAACATTCTCCAAGGTAGATCACTTGTTGGGCCACAAAACACTTCTTAACAAATTTAAGATGGAAGTCATACAAATTATCTTTTCAAACCAGAATGGAATGAAACTTGAGATCAAAAACAAAGAAAACTGAAAAATTCACAAATATGTTGAAATTAAATAGTACGCTGTTAAATAGTCAATGGGCCAAAATAAATCACAAGAGAAATTAGGAAATATCTTGAGACAAAAGAGAATGAAAGCAGAATGTACCAAAATTTATAGACTGCAACAAAAGCAGTACCAAAAGGGAAGTTTATAGTGGTAAACACACACAATAAAAACAAAGAGTGATGTCAGCATCGTGGTGGAGTGAGACACCCTTTTGTCACTCCCCTTTGATCTGCAACCAGGAAAGTAGCCAACTCGGCAAAGATGGCTCTACCAAACAGACCAGAACATGAGAATTTCACACATCTGTACATTTAAAGGTGGGTGGATGCAAGCACATAGGGAAGGCA